GACTGACCAACTGCAAAACATGCCATTTCCGGACGGTGCCCAGGCCTGCGCCTCCTCCCTGGGCCCTGCATCTAGGGAGACTGAGGTCTGCCATCTAGTGGCCACTGCCCGCCTATTTCTCCTGAGCTTTTAAAAGAAAGCAAGAAGTTCCCACATACAAGACAACCCTACATATTTATAGCATCACACCCTGTAAACAGGAAACTCCTCAGACTTAGAGAAGACCAGTAACATAAACATAGGGTATTGCCAATAAGTTCCACCACCCTTCAACAAACATTTAAAAAATGCATACACACACACACACAGTCACACACACACACAGTCATTCCACTGGAAGGTGAGCTCCCTGAGACAGGGATTTCTTTTCCTATATTGCTCACTAAGGACTCTCAAGTGCCTAGGACAGGGCATTTGCATAGCAGACATGCAACAAATATTTATTGAATGTAGAACAAATGAATACCTAACATTTACTGCATCTTACTATATACCGGTCCCTTCACCTATCCATTTCCTCATTGAATCTTGATGATGACTTATGCTCATTGCTAGGTAGACAGTGTTGGGATGCCCATTTCTCAAAGTGGAGACTGAGGCACAGAGGGACAAGCAGTTTGCCAGGTGTGGGGAGAGCCAGCTTTGACTGAGATTTTATGTGTACTGAGTCCCCGTGTACATCTGCGTGTGACAGGCTTTGTGTGTGGCATAGCCACCTTTAGATAAGTGGTAGAAGTACCTCCAGGGGATATTCCCCTCCAATATCTTCACTTTGAGTGAAGTGTCCTTTTCTGCAGTGCTGTGACAGAGACAACACATGCAGGGGATTCAGGAAAGGCTGGCTGGCCAACAATGAGTCCCTGTCACTAGCTAGTTCTGTGGCTGTATGACCTTGCAGTGTCCCCAAACCTCAGTTGCTTCAGTTGTCAAAGAAACTGAGTTAGGATTTCTGCCTTACCTTCCAGCTCCAACATTCTACTGTTCTTGTGACTCCCAGGGAGCCGGATATGAGTGGAAGACAGAGGACCACTTGTTACTAGGCAACCAGCACCCACCTCACCCATGTTGCCATGGTGATGAAAGTTGGGATGATGGGATTACCAACTAATTGCACATGAGAGCTCATGTTCTCTGTCTATTTCTTGCTTGCTCACTGGATCTTACTTCCTTACTCTCCTAGGAACTATGGAGAGATCCCCCCCACCCCACCCCCACCGATCTGCAGTGTCCCCAAGGCAGCCCTAGTGCAATGGACAACAACTAGAAATAAAGACCGTGGCTGTGTCTCTGAGTAGCTGTGTGACGTTGCATAGGTTACTCAGCTTCTCTGGGCCTCCCTTTCCTCATTTGGAATATGAAGGTGTTAGAATAATGATGCCTGTTTAAGGCTCTTCCCTGCTCTCAAATCCTTTGATGCCTAGGGAGCATGTCAGGGGAGCCGACCACACTGTTACTAGGCAACCAGCAGGCACCCTGCCCAAGTTGCCTTGGTGACTGCTTGCCTGAGGGGAGGGGAGTAGCTGCTGTGGCTAATTGCTTAATTATTTATGAGTGCCTCAAGTCCTTTTTTGTTGTTTTCGTTGCTAGGGGCTGTGTGGTTACCTTCTCCTCCTCTCTCCGGCCACCCCAATCTGCTGAGTTGCCTGTTACTCAAAGCACATTGGCCTGGATCTCAAGCTACCCACGTTTTAGTCCTGCTCTGTCATTTCCTAGAGTGGTGGCCTCAGGTAAGTCACTTCACCTCTCTGGGCCTCAGTTTCCTCATTTGTAAAATGATAGGTTTGCTTTCTCTTCAAATTCCCTGTCTACCCTGAAATTCTAATTCCTGCTATCTAGTTACAAAGGGGGAAGATGAGGGAAATTTTCCCAATTTGTTATCTTCTAAGGATGATTCTGAGAGCAGTAACACATTTCAAACAGAAAGGGAATGAAAGTTATGCGCATTGTTCTTTCTCTGCCTCTTACCTTAGTGACATTACCTGACCTCTTATTAATCTAAAGGTCATTTAAGTTTTTTTGTATATCACCTACTCCCAAAACAGATTTGAGGATTAGTATAAGATGCATGTGTGAAATTGGGTCATTACAATAAAAATAGGAGTAAAGTAATATAAAAATAGTTATGTTTCTCCATTGATTAATATTGATGTTGTGATTGAGCATCAGATGTAATATTGAGCATCCTGGAAGCAAAGCAAAAAAGAGAGGGAGGTGCATAATTGAGACTCAATAAAGAAAAATTGCCAGACTATTCTTCTAACTTCTGAAAGTAATTTATCATGTGCATACTATCCTTTAAAAACTGCACATAAAACTTTTTAATTAACTCTTTCTTGCTGAGGGTATTGTTAAAGGACATAAGGAAAGAAGTTCAACTTGACAGTTTGACTAGTTTTAATCACTGGAAAGCAAAAACTCTCTTTCTGCCAATGTCTTAGATTTTATAAACATAAATGTAAGTAAATATAAATTTTCAGAATCAAGTATTATTTATAAATTAATGATATATAGAAATTCATGTAACCACTTTGCACAATAATCTAGCAAGATGTATCAAATTTTTAAACATAGACAAAGTTTCAACTTATCCAAAATTGTTCTGAAATAAACTGGTACAGATGAAGAAAGACATCAAATACAAAATTGCTTATGGCAGCATTATTGATAAAAGAAAATTACTACAAATCACCAAAATCCTGAGGGGTAGTGAATTAAATTATATCACTTCTCTAGAAAGGGTTGCTTTGTAGCCCTTAAAATGAAGTACATGTAGTGCAGCCGATGTGGCTCAGTGGTTGAGCATCGACCCATGCACCAAGGGGTCACGGGTTTGATGCCACATCAGGGCACAGGCCCAGGTTGTGGGCCAAGTCCCCAGGGGAGGGCATGCAGGAGGCGGCCAGCACATGTTCTGTCTCATTGATGTTTCTCTCTCTCTCTCCCTTCCTTTGCTCTCTGTAAAATCAATAAAGAAAAAAAAAGTTTTTTAATGAAGTAGATCTATATGTTTTGATATGAAAAAAAACTTCAAATATGCAATGTTAAGTAAGATAAAGACATGCAACAGTGGTATAATATGCTCCTATTTCTGTTATGAAGGATATAGATAAGTATACAACTTATATGCATGCTTTTATATGCATACTTGTATTTTTCTGGAAGGAAACTGTTAATAGGCTTTCCTCTGGGCAGGAAGACTGATATCCTTGAGATGGAGGAAGACTTACTATTTGTTTCCTTATGTTTACTTTCTGGACCTGTTAGTTTTTAGGTAGAGAGGCAGTGGAGCCTAGCAGTTAGAAGCCTAGACTCTGTTGTCTAAACGCCTCTGTTGAAATCCTGGCTCTGTCACTTACCAGCTGTGTGACCATAGGGTTAACTTAACTTCTGCACTTCTCATCCATAAAATGGGCCGATAATAGTACCTTCCTCACTGGACTGTTGTGAAGATTAAGCGAGTTAAGTATAAAGTGCTCAGGCAGCCTAAACAATGCCATCTCTGTAAATTATTGAAAAAAAATAAAAGGAGAACTGTTTTTTAAAATGCATCTAACCAAAAGGACCCCCAGTATCTCAAAGTTGGAAGGACTTCATGATTATGTTACGGCTTTCAGCATCGCATGCTGTATAGAAATTATGTTTGAAGCAGGCATCAAAAGCAGTGGTCTAGTTTTCATTGTCAGTTTATCTAGACTTGAGTACCTTTCAGGAAAAGCGCCTACCCTGGGATTTGTGATAGGCATTGACGATACCTGTGATGACCCTGAACCCATCTGGGTCTGCAGCTCCTGTTTTGGTCCATTACCGTGAATGCTCAAGCTAAGAGCAGCACATAGGTTAGGCCAGCTGGAAAATGTGAGGAACTGGAACTGTTCAAGGCCAGAGGGAACCATCCAGAAATTCAAGGTTGAAGAGAGTATCCATGTCTGTGCCAGTTACGATGTGTGCTCACATGCCCTCACACCTCTCCTTTCGTTTTGAGAGAGTGACACAGACCCTGTGAAGGGCTGTGCCGAGAGGATCCCTCAGGGATCTTCTGGCCATTGGGACTTCTTTGTTCAGAGATGCAGAAGGCAGAGCGCTGTGTTCAAGCCTGCCTGGTGTGCCGCCTTGTCGGTGCTTTGGGGCAAGCCTGGAGAACGCCCGCTGTCTCGGGGAGCGTTCCCTTGAAGGTAGCCACACTTTGGGCCGGCTTGTGCCCCTCACTGTGGGCACGTGGTGGCCCCAGAGAGCGTGAGTTGGGGGCTCCAGGCCTTTGAAATAAGCTGAGCTTGGAAAGTACTGTCACCATGAGGGATGTAAGGCTGACCTGGTAAAACTTCAGGCCTGAGTCGGTGGTTCCTGGCCTCGGTCGGCCTGGCCCTTTCTATCTGCACTCCTGGGCATTCCAGTCTCTTTATCTATTTGGCTAGAGGTTCCCATTGCATCCGTCGGTCACAGCCCACCGTGCTTCCATCCGCCCCTCCATTCCTGCATCCCTGCTCCCGCCATCTGCCAGCTCTCCCACCCGCTCCGTCCTCTCGCGGTGGTCACTCCTCCCCGACCCAGCCATTCCTCCATGTTTCTGTAGCCTCTGCGTTCAACTGCCGACTTCTGGTCTGGCTGCGGCATCAGCCGCGGGACCGGTACTGGACCTCCACCCCCAGAGCCCGCAAGGCATCCCGGGCCCGGGCTCTGCCTCCCGCCCTGGGCTCCGTGCCTGTGTGGATCAGGGCCACCTCGCTCCGGGCCCAACAGCTTTTGTTCCCCGGGCGGGGGCGGAGCCGGGGCCTTGGACCTGGGCTCGGGGCGGGGCACCTGGGCGGGCGGGGGCGGGGCCGGGAATCGGTGGTTGGGGCGGGGCTGGGGCGGGGCTCGATGGTGGGGGCTCGATGGTGGGGGCGGGCCCGGGGGGCGGGGCTAGGCGGTGGGGCGGGGCTCGGGGCGCCCGGCCGGGTGACTCAGCCGCCGCTCTCCCCGCGGTCCGCTCGTCCGTCGATCTGGCTGGCGGGGCAGAGAAAATGGAGAAGCCCGGGGCCGCCCCCGCCCCCGCGCCGCCCGGCCTCCTGCCGCTGTCGGCGATGCAGCCCGAGCCGGGCGGGGTCCCGCTGCACTCGCCCTGGACCTTCTGGCTGGACAGGTGAGCCCTCGCCGCGGGCCTGCGCCACCGCTTTGTCTCGGCGCTCGCGCGGAGCGGGGTCTGGAGCCGAGGGCTGGGCCGGGCGAGCGGCCGGACGGGAACGGGCGCAGCTCCGCAACTTTGGACCGCACTTCCCCTGCTTGCTCCCCGGGAGAGAAGGACCCGGCGGGCTGGGGCAGGGCGCTGGGGTGGCGGCCCGTCACCCCTGGGCTGCAGCGCTCGGCGCGACCTTGCTGTGACCCGCCGGCCCGGAGCCTGCACCCGCGCTTCCCGAGGCGCCGTGCGCGCCGCCGACTTTCTCGTCCGCTGTGCAGGTATTTCTTGGGCACTTACTGTGCAGCCTCACACCTGCTGGGCGCTGGGGAGTCGTGGGAACAGTGCCTCACCTCGTCGGCTCAGCGGGGACCATTACAGCTTTCTCGGGGCAGCTGAAGTGCCCCGTGCTCAGAATCCCCCCGACCACCTCCTGTAGGTGAGCGCACCCCGCCCCGTCTTCCCTCCGGACGCCCCGTGCTCCCGCGGTGCGCTTGGGATCTGTTGACTCATCTGCCTCAGCACTTCCCTCTGCTGCGGGCCAAAACGTGGGCACTTGGGTATCCCAGAACCTAGAACTGTGTCTGGCACACAGTAGGAACGCAAGCCTTTTTTGACAAACTAAAGCATTAGTGAATACAAAGCCCCTTTTTAGTATCTCACATACAGGGTGCCCAGCATGACACCTCAGGGCTGTCCCAGGAGCTTAGGAAACTCTGGAGAGCGCTGAATCTACTCCGGTTAAGTGTTGGAAGGAAATGTATGTAACAGTTTTCTGTGAAATGTACTTACTAGACACAAATCTGGTCTTAAAAGGCCTTGTCTAGAATGGCTGAAGACTTTTTAAAAGAGATATTCATCTTTTTAAGGAAGACAGACTCATTCTTTTCTTCTGATCGGACTTAGCACCCATCTATAAAAATTGACACCTGGAGCCACTGTCTTTTCAGGCACCCAAAGAAAAAGTTGGGGGTGAGGGAGGTACAACAAATTCGTTTTTCAAAATATTTTCACTTGCATTACGGGATGCTAAGAAAGCATTTTACTGTCATAGCAACAGTAGTTTGGGCCAACTGTCAGAATGAAATAATGTGTGTGTGTTTTCAAGGGTGTGCTGTAACTGTATTTGTTAACCAGTATCTGTTTTAAGGAGTTCAACCTGGACCTTGGGTCTAAATTGTGAATACCATTGACTGGTGAGAACAATATCAAGAGAGTTTCTTTTTGAACAGGTCAAAAATTAGCCTGCTTACAAGAGTAACATTTTGAGAATGGTCTGAGATATTTATACTACAGAACAACACAACTTTTAAAGAATATTCGATATCTTTTAAGTTAAGACACGGTAACTTCAGTGAAGACAAACTATAGCTTTCCTATTATGTATTTGCACATTTTTGTTCTCTGAAAGCCAGAAGTCAAGAGTTCAAATCTTAATAGAAATGACTTTTAATTTAGAAAGTATAATTAGTTGCATAGTTGCACAGATGAATTCATTTTCTTGATCAATCATCCCATAGCTTTTATTGAACTTTCTCCACTCTGGGAGTCTATTGCATTTATGTAGGCTACCTCCTTCCTCTTGGGGGTATGAACATACTGAGTTCTACAGGTTCATTTATAACTTTTTCCTCCAGAGAAACAAGATTCTAGAGAGAGTAATAGGGTTCTAAGCTGGTACCTGGCACCAAAGGCATCAGTTTTGAGCTCCATAGCATCCAGAGGCTTCCCAGCTTCAAACTCTCCCCTGGCACCTGTCTCTTGGCCTGTCCTCGGCAGCCTGCTGTGTGGTGATGGACAAGTGATCTAGCCTTTCAAAGCCTCGCTTTCATTGTTTGTAAAAGGAGGATAATCACAGGATGTATCTCAGAGGCGTTCTGAAGATGGAATGAGAGCTGTGAATGTAAAACACTGACACAAATGCTTAAAATGTTGACTTCTAACATTGACATTTCATGCTCCCAAATTGCAGACCCCTCCCGCCCCTCACTCTCACACACCGCACCCACAGCCCTGGGACAGCTTCTCTGACCTCAGTGAGGGAGCCAGTGACCCTGTTATTTGCATTTTCAATAGTAAACTCCAGTGTGAGACTATTTGTTTTTGTTTTTTAAGTAGACAACATGGCTGAGGATTTAAGCATTTGGGAGGTAATTTTGGTGGAGGGTATCACATGAAGAGTTTCCCTTCCATTTTCTGGATATTTGAAACCCTGCCCTGTCTTGATTCTTGGAGGCCACTCTTGGTTGTGTGTCTGCTTTGTTTGCGTCTCGTGGCTGCCCCTTTCTTGTCTCCATGCTTACCTGTGAGCTCTCCTGTCACACGGCGTTCCGTTTTGCCTACGCACTGGCAGTCCCCAAACGTGACACTGCACGGCCAGCTCCTCCTCCTGTGTCTGTGTGAGTGCCTGACACACAGCCAAACTCCAGGTGCCAGACCACCTCCTCACCTTCCCTCCCAAACCTGCCTCCTTCATCTGTCCCTCAGATAAAAGCAGTGAATAGCAACTCCTTCCTTACATCTCTTTAGCCAGAAATTGTGCCGTTGTTTGTGACTCCCTTCCTCATCTTCCCTCTCTCTCCTCTCTCCTGTCCTTCTCCCTCCCCACTACATCCATTATCAGCAAATGCTACTGATTCTACCATTAAAATGTATCCAGAATCCAATTCATTGTCACCACCTCCATCCTAGGAGTTAGACCACGCCACCTTTCTCACTTGGATGAATGCATGTAAGAGCATCCCAACTGCTCTCCCTGCTTCTGCCCTTGTGCCTGCAGCCCATTCCCATCATAGCAGCCAAAGCAGTCCCTTTAATACCTAAGTTAAAGCTTGTCACTTTTCTACTCTCTGTTTCAGAGCAAAAGCCAAAGTGCTTATAACAGCCCATGAAACTGCAGCATTTCCTGCCCCCACCTAGGACACGTTTGTCCCTGTCTCCCTGTCCCTCCTGCCCACACCCTTCTAGCTCACTGGCCCTCTTGTTCTTTTTCCATTATCCTGGGCCTGGTCCTTTGTCACTGAGGTCCCTCTGCCTGGAATGCTCTTTCCTTGGTCATCTGCTAGGTGCCTGTTTTTTTTCTTGTCTCTGGTTTCTGGTCATATGCCATCTTCTCAGGGTGGCCATCCCTGAGCACGCATACAAAATAGCATGCACATCCAGACACGCACTCCCGGCACCCCAGACCCTGCTTTATTTTCTCTATAGGATTAGCCCCACGTGCCTGTGTTCTCTCAGTAGAATGTAAACATCACAGGCTCTTTCCTCATTGCTCTGTCTACAACGCCTAGGTCAGAGCCTAGCACAAGCTGGCCCACACTAAATATTTAGGGCATTATTAAATTTACCCACAGTGACTTTACCCTCTCCTGTGGTGTGCATACTACTTTGATTATCATTCACAAATCTGCATCACTAGCCCTGAGTTCTGGCCATATACTGCCTGCCTGCCTTGTGCTGTGTGACAGTACTGCCATCCTACAAGTTTTTAAAGTTTGAATTTTCATTTGTCCCTTGAATCCTCTCTGATCGTGTCATTCCGCAGCCTCCCTGCCCCTCTGCCACAGCAGCAGGGTTGACTCTGTCCCTCACCACCTAAGGGCCCCTCTGCCGTGGGGTTGCAGGTACCAGGCAGGTGAGATTCTGGATCCCCACCCCTGCTTTTACCAGAGCAGCTGTGACTGGTTTTGTTGTTTCTGTTTGTCTTTAGAAACGGGCCACTTTAATTTGAAAAAAGCATTCCGCAGCTTAAACAGAGTGAAGACTGCAGACTTACACATTGTGGTACACACTTCTGCATCTTTGTTTAATACAAAACCCCTTGCTGTTCAGCTCATCGTCTCCCTCTCTCCAGCTCCAGAGCTCCACCAGTCTGTCCCTTCTTTCAGGGAGAGCAGACTCCTGGTCCTTTTCCTGGGGGAACCCTGGACTTGCCAGCCTCACAGTGTTTCTTCTGCTTGGGATGCCCTTCTCCCCTTTGCTTACTGAACACTTGCCGTGCGTCCTTCAAGGCCTTACTAAGATGTCCTTCAGTCGCCATGGGCCGAGGCAGGGTGAAGCCTGCCACCTTGTGTTTCCACAGCATTTTTAAGGCCAGTATTTGATTCAGGGATCACTGATTCCTCTTCTGTCCCTCCCCCTCAGTCATAACGCTCTAGCTGCCTCTTGATCCTGGGAACGCACATTCCAAAGCCATGGAGGTGCTTAGTGTTTGTGATCCTGTGTTTTAATCATAGAGGTGACTGTCACTGACCCTCCTGCCAGCCTCACCCCGTCAGGGCTTAGTCTGCCCAGCCATTGGCCCCTGACCACTTGCCCCGTGTTACTGGCTGTGCTTGTTAAGGTGCAAGCTCCCCACCCTGCGGGATTTGCTCAGCGAGACCTCGGGTGGGATGTGCATTTGTAACAAATGCCTAAGTCTTCAAAACTTGAGAATCACTGCGCTGTGTATCGATCGGGTTCATTGAGCCTGTTCGTCACTACTCCCTGCTCTAAGTGCAGAGAATGCAAAGAGGTCAAGGGCATGGGGCCAGCCTCCCAGGAGAGCTGCCTCATGTGCTGCATGTGTCCAGCACCGGTGACAAGTCCAGCGAGGTGCTCGGTTCTGGGGGGACCCGCCTTTCAGGGTGTGATGCATTTCGTTGTGTGCCCCGTAATAATAAATCTGATACACGCAAGTGGGCCTGGCCTGAGGAAGAGGATCCCCAGATTATGCTGGTTCATAGAATGGCCCGTGGGGACTGGGGAGGGCAGGAGGCTGCCTGCAAGGCCCTCGCTGACAGGCACAGAGTGGCTGGCCTCTCAGCTCTTCCTATTCTTTTTCCCCGTTCTCGCCTTTCGGAAACTACAGGTTCTTTAAAGGCCCAGGGTTTACTTCATGTAAGGGGCAGAGGGTCTCTGGGCAGATCCGGCAGGAAAAGGCCCTGATTAGGGGCTCACAGCCTGTCCAGCTGCGGGTCAGTGGTTGC